ACTTTGCCTCTGGGACTGCTGCTTTCTCATTTCAATGCCACCAGTCATGCCTAATTGTTTTCATATCTCCTGCAGAGAGGCTGCTTTACTGAGATATTTTCTCACAGACTGGCTGTGTTTTCCTCCCAGCACAGGGCTACAGGTCATTCTGGAGATCCTGGGATGCATTGTCACAGAAGGCCTTCACAGCACATCAGAGGTGCTTGTCAATAACCTCTTTTCCACCAGTCCTTATGGTTGGAAGAGGGCACAGTTGGGAGGGACCCAAGGTGATGTTTTCTATTTCACTGCACTTGAGAAGCAGCTTTGGATGAGTTTGTGTCTATGTGGAATTGAAGTCATAATCTGTGAATGTTAATGTGTTATATAGAGGAAAAGTCTGTAGTATTTTCTCACTTTCAGACTTAGGGAAACCACAGACTGATAGAACGGTTTGGGTTGGAAGGGACCTTAAAGATCATCTAGATCCAACCCCCCTGCATTGTCAGGGACACCTCCTACTAGGCCAGGTTGCTCAGACTCCCACCCAACCTGGCCTTGAACACTTTCCAAGATGAAACAATAATATTAGGTCATTCAATGGTCCATCCATCATTATATGATCTTGATAGTACTATTAAAAACTATAAAATGTTGGGGTTTTTTAATCACACAGGCACAAAAGGTAAAATTATTGTGTTTCTAATCTGTACAATTAAAGCACCTCAAAAATCTGTAGAAATGAACACTTTATAGGCATATTTATGTAGGAGAGACCAATAGATGCAAACCATGTGGCTGTGTGGACCGTGGAGTCAGAAGTATGAGGGCTGCTAGTATAAAACCACCAAAATCAATTGGGTCAGAGCTACACCAAGCTGGGCTGACAGACAGCCAGAACACTTCTGTGCTGCATTGAAGCTACTAGAAGAAACCATCCTGGCCAACAGCACTGCAGGTTTGTTTCACAAGGAAATCAGCTATTGCATTCTCAGCACAGCATCTCAGGAATAGCAACAGTCATTACAGCATATTGCAGAGGCTGAGTTCAGGAGTTCCTGGCACTGTATTTGTGCAGATTTAATTCTCTTCCTCTGCCCCCATCAAAAAATTGCAGATGTTACTTATGAATTATTTGATATGCCTGTTTTTCTAAAATGCATGATTGCATTTACAGAGATTACTCCAGAAATTTGACAGCACCCATTATTATTTTTCTATTATGTTTTCAGTGTTGGGATGTTCTGTAGGGTTTGCTTGAAAATCAGAATGAGCAGAGGCAAATGCTTGCCAGGAGATAAAGAGACTCCTGCATTTGGATGAAATGATAGGGACAAGAGAGTCTGACTTAAAGAGGCTCCAAGAATGACTGAAGCCAAATCTTTCTTACTTGATTGTCCAATAAAATAAGTCTATGCAAACCTCTCCACAGGTTGGTCTCCTCAGCTCTTCGCTGGAGGTCGTAAGCCTTGACCTTTGTAAAGAGCACTAGGCTCCATGGATAAGCAGCACATACTTCTAGATTTGTGGGTACTCTGGCATAGATATGCAGTCCTGTTCATTATCTGAGCTACCTGGGCTAAAACATGAAGGTATAGGGAATGCTACAGAGGTGGTCACTTCTGGGCCAACGTTGATGGCAGAGGGAGCAGTGTTCATGGGGCCAGAGGGAAGGGGACATCAACATGTGGATCAGTGGCTGGGGTTCCCACCTGGCAGGGGAGAGATTGGGGTTCCCAAACAACCTTGGATGGAATCAACAAATCTTTGGGTCCTGCTGCACAAGTGAAGACTCCACCCTCTACATCAGAGAACAAAATAAGAAAATATACTAGATGATGAAAGTCAGCCCACCTTCTTGGGAGGCAGGAGATGTCAGTGGGAACACAGTCCCATTCAGAAAGGAACAGCAGATGGATCTTTCCTCCTTTTGAGCACTCCAACCTTTACTCCATTGCATAGAAGCAGGGCATCCCATTTCTCAGAAGACCAGTAAGTTATAAAAGAGATGAGCCCTACTAGATCCTCTCTGAGCACAAAACCATGCTCCTATCCTAAGGGAAGCTTCGGTGCTGCTGGGGGCCTGGCAAGGAGAGGTTCTTCCTTCAGCCTTGATTAAGACTCTCAGCCCTGTGAACAACTGGGGAGACTCTATTTTGAGATTTCAGCTTTTCCCCATAATCTCCAGTCGGGTTTCTGGTTTGCACCTAGTCAGGTATGCAGAATTAAGGAGCTCCTAAAGTAGAGAAAGTCCACAGGTGCTCAGATAATTTAGCTTCTTTTATGATTACTGCATTTGGTAGAGGGCAGAGTTGGAAACAGATTATCCTTAAGGCCCCTTCCAAACCAAAGCAGCCTATGATTCTAGAACTGTTCTCTAAGAGCTAGCCTAGCTACCATATACACCCATGGCCCCAAAGCAGAGTTCATGGCAAAGTCTTCATGAGCAGCTGGACAAGAAGCTAAAGTATTGACTACCAGAAGGGAAATATGCATTTCCCCAAGCAGATGCTCCATTTCCCATAAAAGAAAATTAAAAAAAAATATCTAATTGAACCGGCAAAATGCTTTTTAATCTGAAACAGGGCAAGAGTTAGCTGTTAAGCTCTGAAGAGGAATAGACAGACACTCAAATGCTTCTGGAAGAAGAAGCTGAGAAGCACTCACAGCTCATCCCATGACAGGACTTGTTGGCACTGAAATGCTCTAAGGTGCATTACTTTATTGTTGTCACATTGCCACTATAGTACAACACAGACACTGCCTTAGGTGCTCACAGGCTGTCCTTGTCAAGCATGGAAGGCAAAGAAGAAACCAGTACATGTTCCCACAGTTTGAGCAAAATGAGATGAGCTGTGTGGCTGACCTGGAGTAGAATCATTAAAAAGTCATTAACACAGGAATCACCCCAGATAACTGTGTGAGTGTCACTCTCTCATCTCCGTTATCGGACTAGATTATGTTTTCCTACGACTACTTTGGTAAGATAAGTTACACCTTCGTTTCCCAAGCAGAAATATCTTGTGTGCCCTGTGTTGTACTTCTGCATCCCAGCACACAGGATCTGGAGTTTACCTGTGTGGTGGCAGTTCACACAGCCTGCCTTTACTGTCAGCCATGGGCTCCAACATGTTTGAAAATTGTAATGAAAGGTGAAAACCCCATTTGTAGCTACATTTTGATCACTGAGTTTTTATATACATGCGGCCTATTCCAACCTGAAACTTTTATTGCTTTACCTGCTTGACCAGACCCTTGTGAAGAGGAAAGGAAATGCTGCTCAGCCTCCTGGGCAGCGCTGGTGGAGGACAGCCAAGCAAGTCATCAAGTACCAGCAGCACCTTCCACATGTGAGCGAAAGCTCAGAGAGCTGAAAGTGCTGGTGGGGAGCTCTGTGTTTCCTGCACCATAGTTGTCAGAGCAGGGACTTCATCCCTCTTTTCCTGCATCAACACTAGCTGTCACTTATCTCCAGAGTCAAAATATTTCCTTGCTTATCAGCAGCTAGTAATTGATGTGAAATCAGTGAAACTCTCTGCAAAGTTCATGCTATATATGCCAGACAGCAAACAGAGGAGTGCAAGCCTAAATAGAAACTCTCAGCTAATAGTGTGAAGTTTCCTTTAGCAATGGTTGAACATGCATGATTATCCACAGTTTCCTAATTATTGTAATTTACTCAATCTCCCCTATTAAGGAGCATTTTTCTGCCTGGGGACTTTCTAATTATGGAATTAATTGTCACTTTTAGTACTATAACATACCGTTCCCATGACATTGTTCAGATTTACAACCCTAACTGTGGAAAGAACAAGGGAGAGAAAGAGAAAGTTGTTACAAATATTTTGCTTGTCTCTTCTAATTTCTTTCAAGAGCATTTTAGAAGTCTAATATGGACACAAGAAAAAAAAAAAAAAAAAAAAGAGGAAAAAAATAATTTCAATCCTTGAAATCCTAGATAAGAAAGCACTTTCTTATGAAGAAAAAAAAGTTACAGTAGCATGTTAAAAGAGACCCTCATTAGTTATTTGTAGAAGTACAGATCAACTTAATAGGGGTGGAAACCTGTTGTAATTCCATGGATTCTAGTGGCATTGTGTCAGAGCACTAACAATCTCACAGAAATCAAAATTGCCTCTGAAAATATACCCTTTTACCCATTATACTGTCAAATGATCTAAGTGCCCATATCTTCCCAGTTGAAAGTGAACTCTTTGATCCTGAGCTCCAGAAGGAATGGCAGGGTATTCTTTGTCTGACTTTTTACTAACTTGACCCTGACTTGTACAATGTGCTGCAACAGTGAAGTGACACATGGCAGGCAGCATGAAATTAAAGCATGACAACAGGCACAGACATCTGAAGGAAAGATGATTTTCAGTACCTCTTTCATCCTTTTCCTATGTTCACTTATTGCAAGGGCGATGTTTGTTCAGGGAGATGAATGAAAACACTTCCCATGCCATTCAAAAGCATTCACTACTGAATGATTCATCTGGTGCATTCTTACCAGCAGCCTTCAAGAGAGACTGCATCCCCCACTCAAGTTAGAAACAAACAAACAAACCAACTAATTGGAATGTGTCTCTCATGATTAAAACAACACCAACAACACCAAAACGTCTCACTGGTGCACAGTGTGTGTTGCAGCTGGAAAATTGAAAAGAAATCCCTTATGTCAAGATGATGGCTGTGAGAAATTACATAAAATATGAGTTAAACTAATACAAGCTTGGATTAAAGATGCATGTATCATTACAATGCCTCTTTAGAACAGTGCCAGCCCCTCTTGGAAGGGGATACAACTGGCTAAGACCTGTAAGTCTGAACTCCAGTTCCTACAACTATTTTGTTTTTCAGTAAACACCTCACACATGCTGTCAGCTGTCTTTGCAGGGGGAAAGCCCACAAATACGTGGGCAAGAAAGTTCAATAATCTTAGTTGTCTCCCTGCAGAGGTGCTGAAAATGCACCCAAGCTGTGAGCATGTGATAAAAAGTAACACAGGCTTAAAAGAATACCTTAAAAGAATAGTAAAAGGATCCCCACTCCTCTTCTGCCACCACTTCAGTGAAAGTCACCGTTTCAGTGCAGGTGACGGGGGGAAGATCCAGCCATCCGGTGCCTCCCTGGGAGCTGCTGCTGGCTTCTGTGGAGCTGACCTCCATCACTGGGTTTTGTTCGAGTTGTCTAGGTGCTTGTTTTTGCAAGAGGTAAAGCAGCCAAGCTTCCCTTGTGAAAGCACAGCAACAAAACCAGCTTCTCACTGCTCCACCACCGGCTACTGGAGGCGTCGGGCTTCAGTGCAGCTGAGTGATTAAAAAAAAAAAGAAAAGCAAAAGCCAAGCCAAGCTGGTGTCGTCCCTTAGAGGTTTCCTTTGGTACGACTCTGATGACAGCCATCCTCATGCTCTTTCCAGCAGCAGGAGCACCAGCCAGTAAGAAAATCAGCACATGTGGCTCCAGCCATGTGCCTTGTGGACTCAGAATCATCTTGCACCACAAGCTGCCACCTCTGGAGTCAAGCACACCTGGAAAAACATGGCTCTCCTCCCTGCTTTAAGCTCAGAAGCCTGGCTATTCCACTCAGCATCTTTGTAGAGTTTCCCTAGCTTAGCCTGCTTTGATTTCAGTGACCTGCAGAATTACTGTATATCCATAGACAAGTACCAACACACTCTCCTCTATAAGCAAAAAAAATTATTCTGATTTTAGGCCTAAACTATCACAATTTTCCTGTAAGTGTCTATCTGACTTCTGAAATTGTTTTTGCCAAGACAAAAAAAAATAACATAAATAGGCCTTTGCACTTACCTTTGCAAAGAGCTCAAACCTGCTGCACACCCAGCACAGGCAGGGCTTTCTTATCTGTAAGGAGAGCCTGTCTGGAAAGGTGCAGCTGCTAGAGATTTCTGGTGCCACTTAGACAGACTCAAGGACTCTTCAGAACAGTGTAATAAAATACCTTTCTACTTGCTGATTCTCTGGGCACTGAGTTCACTTAACCTGGATGTTTTTCCCCACCTCTACCAGCATCACCCCAGGTTCACACCAAGACAGAAGATAAGATTGCATACAGCTTTGCTGACCAGAGTGCAAAACCACACGCAAATCCAGAACCTTTTCAGCTGTGTGGAGGTGCTCCACCTTGATATCAATGCAATCCAAAGTAGAGCATGATGCATTTTCACAGGCATACCCCATCAACTCAAACTCTCATCACCTGCTCATGGCAGAGCCCTCTGCTTATGTGTCTGCCAGCATGGATGGCCACGTGGGAGTTCAGGAGGTGTTGAACTCCTCGTTCTGGGCAGCATAGTGCACCCTCTGCCCAGCTGCTGGAGCAAGGGTCTCCTCAACAAGCCCAGAGCATCTGCAGTCCAGGTGGGACTGTGCCCACCCCTGCTTTTGTGAGCAGCAAGAGAGGTGTGGCTACAGGGCTCTCCAGCTCCCAGGGCCAGGGATGGGGGCACAAACAGTGAAATGCAGGTCTAGGTTTTGACTCTGAACCCTTCCAAGTAGGGACACGCCTGGATCTGGGGCTTTGAACCAGGCTTTTCTAGGGATGGGAGAAGCCTCTTAGTGTCTGAGCAATATTCAGACCCCTCCAGGAGACATTGGATTCATTCAGGTCCAGGCCTACACAGACAATTAGTACCACTCCTGATGAGAAAGAATCAGCACTGATCCAAATGCACCAGTGACAGCAGCGAATGATGCATAGGTTGAAATGTGACCAGATGAAAATAAATGTCCCAGAACTACTATGTTTTTCTGAAAACCATTGTGAATATTCTTGCTAATGTATTATCTAAAAGACAAGAGGGAATATTTTTTATTTTTTTGTCTGACTGATCATACAGGTTGAATTTTCATGTCTGCTATCAAGATGCTATTCACATAGCATCCCAGCTTCTTGAAAGCATCCTACCAGCTTTTTATTCTTCTTCCCTAATTTTCTTATGTTTACAGATTTATTTATTTTTTTTACAAGTTATTGCACTGAATGAGCTGGGTTTTTTTCTGTATTCTCATTCCTACAGATCTGTTATGCTCTGAGCCTATTACAGACACTCAGAGACTTTTCAGTGGTTACATTGCTCGCCAGATCATGCACAGCTCTTAGGACTAACCAACAGTGACTTCTCCTGTGGCTTTGCCAGCTATTTGCTCTAAGTAGTGCTTATGGTGCTATAAAAGGTTATGACATGCCCCACTCCAGCACTTTCCAGTCTACACAGGAGTAATTCAAGACTTCCATTACTACTAGCCTTTCTGTCTTTGAGTATTTCTCAGTCATTGTCATGGCCCTGGTTTGTTAATGGCTGTTTTTCTGAAATGCTCTTTTCTTTCTGTTTAGTCAAAGAATTTGACTGCCTATAGTGGTGCATCTAGAGTTAACCTTATTCTCTGGGATACAACACTTGGTTTTCAAATCTCTGCAAAGTCATGGGGCTGTTCAGCCTGAAGAAGAGAAGGCTCTGGGGGAGACCTCATAGCAGCCTTCCAGTACCTGAAGGGGCTACAGAAAAGCTGGGGAGAGACTTTTTTTAAGGGCTTGTAGAAAGAGGATGAGGCGTAATAGTTTTAAACTGAAAGAGGAGAGATTTAGGTTAGAGATCAGGAGGAATTTCTTTAGTGTGAGGGTGGTGCAGCACTGGAACAGGCTGCCCAGAGAAGTTGTTGAATCTCCATCCCTGGAAGCTTCCCTTAAGGCCAGGTTGGATGGGGCTCTGAGCAACCTGATCTAGTGGGAGGTGTCCCTGCCCATGCAGAAGAGTTGGAACTCAATGATCTTTAAGGTCCCTTCCAACTCTAACCATTCTATGATTCTATGATAGCTCTCTGCAATATCGTGTTTGGGGATTTGTTCTTTCACCGTCCCTACTCTTCACTGTGAGATTAAGCAAACTCTTTGAATACCTCTGCAATGAATGGCAAAAAAAAAATATAATAAATTATTGAATCTCAAAAGCCTTTAAAATGCAATATTAAATCATAGCAATTCCTCTGTGGAGAAAGAATAGCTGATTGATTCATACAACAGACTTAGCTGTTTTCCTCCAGCAGGACATTGAAAAGTCTCTGAGAACTTTCAGTGCTTGAATAGTTCTAAAGAGAGAGAAATTGAATCTTCCCTCTGTTTTAATTTTAAATGTTCTCAAATTATTATTTTAAAACAGATTTTTTCTAATCTATAATAAAATGTGATACTGCTTTCTTAACTTTTTGAATAGCTTTTTTTTAAGTCACACTTTAGTATGAAAGGGGGGCTACAGGAAATCTGGAGAGGGACTTTTTACAAGGGCATGTAGTGACAGGATGAGGGATAATGGTTTCAGGATGAAAGAAGGCAAATTTAGATTAGACATTAGGAAGAAATTATTTATTGTGAGGCTGGTGAGACACCAGAACAAGTTGCCCAGAGAAGCTGTGGATGCTCCCTCCCTAGAAGTATTCAATGCTGGGGGCTTTGAGCAACCTGGTCTAGTGGGAGGGGCCCCTGCCCATGATCCGTAAGCTCCTTTCCAACCCAAACCAGCCTATGATTCTATTATACCACAGGAAAGATTAAGCAGATTTGAAAGTAATCTTCACACAAAGAGAGTGGATTCTTTGGAAGAAGAACAGAAAGTACTTGTCTCAGACACCACCTCACTAGCCCTTCTTAGTATCTTTGTCTCAAGAACTACACAAATTTAGATTTCTTAAATATAGTCCTCAGCCAAAGGACCAGAAAACCTAAGTGGCTCCAGTGAAAGCTGAAGAGAATACTCTGCCACTGCCGTGTATAACAATGTTGATATCCTTTATGCAGATATGTGGTGGGACACCAGCAACACTTATATTGTATCTCCCCACAGTAGCATGATTTTGCTTACTGGAAAGAGGAGGAAACCTTGCACAACTGCAGAAAGTGAAATCCAGAGATGGATATGACGAGATGAAGGCAGGTGCCTCTGGAAATAAAAGGCTCAATAAGTCAAAGTTTTAAAGACCAGGTACAAAACAGGATTTTTTATTATTTAAGCCAGAAATTCCTAATGCATAGACTCTGGTCTTCCCTGCATAGAAGCTGTGAAACAGAGTAGATGTACACAGGTCATTTTGTACACCTCTGTGTGGACACACCAGGTGGAGGTGCCATCACAGCTACAATGGACATCGCTCTCCTAAACCCAGTGGTGGTAGGAGGGGGGACTATGCATGAATATGTAGATCCTCCTATGCTTTGGATTCCCCTATTTCTTCTTCTCTCGTAGAAACTGTTGTGTGGCAGTATTTGTTGTGCATGGTGTTGATAACTTACCAAAAGTCAGGCAATCTAATGGCTCCTATGTGTCCAATTGTTAAAAAAAATTAGCCACGTCTGAAACGGGCAGAAAATAACATCTGCTCCAGCCTGTATAACTTTTTACAGAGAATTTATAGTAGCTTAATCTTTACTGCATTTAGGCAGTACTGGAAGTAAACTAAAAAATATTTTTTTATTTTTGCTCTTTGGAGTTTCCTGCACCCTGCAGTGGTTGGATATAATCACATTAAATGCGAGGAAGAAATAATGCTCTCAGACTACAGGAAGAAATAGAATGACATATTTCTTCTTTCTAAAATGATGGCAAGTTAATTGCTTTTCTGTAAAAAACCCATGCTTATCCAAACCTTTGTATGCTGACTTTGCAAGAGAAAGGTCAGCCTGCCCTTCCAGATGCACAGCCCTCCTCTCCAAATGCCAAACATCTGGGGCAGCACAGAGAGGCTCAGCTATCAACTCTGGCAGCATAGGACCTCTGGAATGCTGCGTTCCCATTATCTCCACTGCACAGGAAAGGAGCAGAATTTACACATAAGTGACACAATTCCTACTGTCTGGTATAAGCTCACTTTCCTTTAGCTTACATGCTGCTTAGCAGGCATGCTGTTTTCTGTTGGTGCTGTGCCTTAGGAGGGGTGCTGGTCTGTTTGCCGTGGGTAGAAGACATTCACACAGGCTGAAGTGCTGCCCTCAGAGCCAGGACTGAACAAGGCTGCAGGCATCCTGCAGCCAGGGCTCGGGCTGGGAAGGGATGCCAGGATTTCTGGACTCTTGGAAAGTGCTGCTTGCCAGCCAAAGGAGCTCCATGTGCCTTAGCTAGGATGTAACTATTCCCCCTGCATTTGCTCTCAC